TTCGCCCTCCATCGCCCTTCTGCTCGTCGTCGTGCTCGCCTTCTCTCTCTCCCTCCTATTATCGTTCTCGTCCTCACCGGCTTCGCCTCGCACCCATCCAAAATCATTGTCCTCTTTGTCCTCATCTTTCTCTCCTTTGGATCCTCGTCCTCGTCCTCGTCCCCGTCCTCCCTCCTGAGGCTTGGAATCTGAAGGCGGGTTGCACTCCATCTTCCATCTCTTCCTCCTCCTCTTCCTCCCTCTCCTCGATGTTTTTATTGCTCATTACAGCGCGATTCGACAAATGAAACTCGCGTCAAGTGCTACAATCAAGTGTCCGGGCAATCGTACAGACGCACCAGCGACAGAACGAACAGATACGCGGCAACTCCAATGCCGAATTGCCGCCCTCCTACAATCCCCCGTTCAACCCAGAAGAGGAAGAGGAGAAAGATGAGGATGATACAGAAACGAGGAGGAGAGAAATGCATACGACAAGCGGCAAATATGGACAGGTGAATGCTACGCGCGCGCATTCCCAATGGTCCTCGGCCTTCGCTGTCTTCCTCCGTGCAAGAAACAATGAGCGGAGTGCCGTACAGTTGCTGCGAGGTTTCAATGAACAAATGTTGTGTTTGGGCCGCTCGAACCCCCTCCCCCCCCCCCACACACACACACACACTCACTCACTCTCACTCTCACTCTCACTCTCACTCTCACTCTCATTCTCACTCTCACTCTCACTCTCACTCTCACTCTCACTCTCACTCTCACTCTCACTCTCACTCTCTCACTCACTCACTCACTCACTCACTCACACTCACACACCCACACACACACACGCACGCACACACACACACACCCAGGCGCACACACAGGCACAGACACAGACACAGACGCAGGCACAGATGCGCAGACACAGACGACACACAGACACTAACACTGAGACAGACACAGGCACATACACAAACACAGACACCGACACACAGACACACCCACACCCACACACACAGACACACACGCACGCACGCACGCACGCAAACGCACACACACAACACACACAACACACACACACACACGCAACACACACACACACACGCACACACGAACAAAACACGCACACACGCGCACAAAACACACAACACGCACACAATATGCCACACACGCACACACACGCACACCACGCACAATCACACGCACACGCGCACCCACACGCACACGCAACCGCACACGCCCACGCCCACGCCCACGCCCACGCCCGCGCGCACGCGCACACGCACGCACGCACCTGCACAAACCCGCACGCACCCGCACGCACACTCACACCCACACCCACACCCGCACCCACACTCACACCTTCGCACACATACACACAAATATACACAACACAGTGACCCACACAGACGCACACACACAAACACACACACACACACACACACACACGCGCGCGCGCGCGCGCGCTCGCTTTAAAATCCACACATGGTCCCAGGGACCCCCAACAAATCGCCAGCACGGCCCCGAGAAACCTTAAAAAAACACCCAAGACACGTCCAAACGATTTCCAGCAATCATCCCATAACAAATTACGGAATAATTATAATAGACATCCCGCCGGCGACCAGGCACGGGGCACGGTGGCGCGCTGGGGTGCACGCCGCTCGATGCATGTGTCGCGCGCCCGTGTTGTTTTCTCAACTGTTGTGCCCCGATGATAACGACCATGTTGCGTTAGTTTGCCGCTGTTTAACGGATTCCCCATTGTTTAGCATTGACGATGTGCGTTGTGCGTCGCACACCCAGCCTGCGGTGTGCAATCTACGTCGTGCAACCTATGTGGGGCATACCGTTTGGTGCCGACGATCAACTGCCAACGAAAACGTGCAAGGGCGTAACTCTTCGTTGAATCGGCGGGGGGTATATACGTTCCCATTAAATTAGGCTAAAACCGCGCGTGGCCAACCCCAACGATCGCACAATCACATACACACCAACACCCAAATATCGCACACTGCCGCATCAACATTACGAAAATCACGTTCATGACGGCGGTGGGTGCGATGTCTACAGCGACGGTGCCCAAAACACTAAACATCGAGCGCGCCCCACATGTACACGACGAAAATCACGTTCATGACGGCGGCGAGTGCGATGTCTACGACGGCGGTAACCAAGATTCTGATGTTGCTGAACATGGTTGTGATGGTAGTGGCGTTGAGGATTTCGATGATGACGGCGGCGTTGTCCATGCCGCGGGCGATGCTGACGGCGATCGTGTTGATGCTGCTGATGGAAAAAGCGTACGGGCGCCAGGGGGTAAGGACGGCGGCGGCGCCGGCAACGGCGACGATGACAGCGGCGGTGGTAATGATGATGATGATGATGATGATGATGATGATGATGGTGATGATGCTGCTGCTGCTGCTGATGACGGCGGCGGTCTAACGATTGTGGTGCCAATGCTCACCATGGCGAAGAACGGTGCGGACACCTCTTGGCGGCCAACAGGTGTCAGCTTGCGATCCACAAAATCAGCGGGGCGCGTGACAAAACAATGTTCCTCCGTTGGGGCGAATCGCTTTCTCTCCCGCCAAATTGAAACACGCGGCGGCGGCGCTGGCGATTGGCGCGGACATCTGGCAGAACAGGAGGGCGACAAGCGCGATGCAAGCGGCGCCGTTTCAGCGGAGTGGGACAGCAGCGCCTCCGATATAGTGGTGCGGTTGGGCCAAATGTCTACCATACATGGGAGAAAGAGGAGGCGGAATAAAAAAACGCCTTGGGTGGCGGGCGCTGCCCACATGGTTACAAACAGCACGGGGAAGAGGGTAACAAAACGGCAGATGCAGCCGGAAAGTGCTCGTCTTTCTGTCCTTCCTTCCTGTCTTCCGACGACTGTGGCAAGTCAACAATCAGCTTGAGAAGGCGGAAAATCTTCGCCGCGGATCTATGCGGTCCCTGAATCATCTTCTGTACTAAAGGCATTTTGTTTGAGGCTGCCGTGCAGGGGGGGTGCGCGATCCCCTCGGAGGCGCCCGCGAAAACCTCCTGGCGCGGGTGATTTAAGAAATGGTTCGCGCCCCGCGGGGTCTTTTCATCAGTCCCTTGGTGGGGTCTATCATTCGTTAATCGATTGAATTCCTGATGCCGATGCCGCGTGACATTGGTATGCGGGCCAGGAGGCCGGGGGAGGCGACGGTGGTGTCGGCGGCCCGCGGCGCGGCGATGGTGCACATGCCGTCTGCAAATCGCTGACGATCACGTCTGCGTCAGCCGCGAACCTGTGCACGGGGTCCTCCTCGCGCTGCAGACCGCGGGAGCCGCCATCGTCGCCGCCCTGGGCTCTGGTGGCGCGCGCGGATGACCAGCCGCGCGCGCTGGCCCGCTCTCCAGCGTGCGAGCGATGGGGCCAGCCGGCTCGCGAACACCCCATTGTGCACGAATTGCTGGCCGTCGTCGAGTAGCTGGCGCAGGGCGCAGGTCTGGGGAGTGACTGCCAACAATCCAATCACACACGGCGTTGGAACAGAGCCCCCGGTATGTGTCCAATTCCACCCACCTGGGTGCCTGGGCAGCGTGCGACTTGACAGCGCCCGCCCCGCTGGTGACAGCCAGCGGGATGCTGCCCCTGCTGGTCGCGAGCGCGTCAGCCTGGCATGGCGTGTCGGCAGCACGATCAGCTCGCCGACCACCTGCACAACGCGGTGGCGCTACAGCCAGGCCGCCACGCAGCGCCAAAATCGCCGTCGTTCCAGCGCCAGTGGTCGATAGATCCCAACAGTCTGACCTCGCGGCCGAGCGTCTGAGCGATGGCCTCGACCGAGTGCTCACGGGTCGTGAGCGCCATGGCCAAGGCCACCAGCATCCGCGGCGCATTCCCCCCCTGGGTTAGGCACTCCACCGCCGCGGGCACGCCAGCCGCCGACGAGAATTTCGGAAACCGGCTGCCGCCGTCGTTCGATGTGGCCGCAGGACGGTCTGGGCAACCAATTTCTTCGAGCACACCCATCAGATGTTGCTAGAAGTACCCCTGGCCCAAGGTACCCCCAGGATTCTCGGGGTGGCCCAGATGGCCTCCAGGGTACGCCCAGAGGGCCCCAGGGGCTCCAAAATGGAGCGAAAAGCTGGGGGTACCTTGGGCAAGGGGCACTTCTAGCAACACCCAAGCCCAGCAAATCCGAGGCCGAGATGGCAGGCCCGAGGCGGCGCTGCCAGGGCCTCGCCGGCTCCTGACCCCACGCAGCGTGCCCGCGAGCGGGAGGCTGGACACTGTGGCGTCCAGCGTCAGGGCAATGCGGAAACCGCCCCTCGCGGGGAGCTGCGCACGTCGGGGCCGGCCGCGCGAACGCGGCGCCCCCCCGCGCGGCGGAACGCCCATCACTTCTCCGTCGCTATCGAAGGCGAACCTGCACTCTATTCGGGGAGACGTAAGACTCGGGTACGGGGACTCCGGTTGGCCTGACTGGGGCCATCATAAAAATGACGAGACCCAATCTGGAATTTGACGCGGGCTCCCGCTGCAAACATCCCACGAAAACGGGACCGTCAAAATCCAGGACGCGATCGTCAAAGAAAGTCGGCAAACCCGAGTTCGGGCTTACTCGAGTCTTACGTTTCCCTGATCCATGGCGCGCGCAACTATGTCGCAGGCCCTGGAGGCCACCCACACTTGGGCAGTGCTGCACATGGGCTCAACCGCGTATGGGGACCAGCTCGGTGGACTGTTGGTTTCAGTTGCCGAACGCTGTCGTGGCCAGTGCTGGTGCCAACGGCGCGTGGACTCTCAGTTCGCGTCCAGGGGGCTCACTGCCCTCCGAAGGGATTTCTGTCAGCAGGAAAAACAGGAGGCCTACGAATTGCGCCCCGCTCGCGTGGTGCATCGTCTCAGTCGGCTCGTCGTTGCCCAGGCGCTGCTAGTCGCCCCCCCGCCGCGACGGCCGCCGGCTTCAGCTTGCCCGCGGGGTCGTGCTCGATCTGCAGGGCCATCTCCATGCAAGCGAGGCGCATGAGGCCGGGTGTTCAAATTATCCGCCGGCCCCCTTGTGGGGCCACCAGGCTGTAGGCCGAAGCTTCGCATTTTCCTGTGCCAGTTGCAGCTTCCAGTTTCCAATGTTACAGTTCTGCTTATTGCTGCTTACTGTTCCTTGTTACAATTCTGCTTCTTGCTGCTTACTGTTCCTTGTTGATGGACCGCGCGAGGGGGGGAGGCCCAAAACGGACATTTTTACCACGCCCTGGGAGGGTTCTCAGAATTCCTGGGGGAATAACAATTAACACCCCTCACGCAGATCGGCGGGGTCAGGGTCCAAAAACACATAGGATTTAGCACATGTCTGAAATTCGGTGGCACCCCTCACGCACATCGGCGGGGTCAGGGTCCAACCACACATGGATTTGCTACATTTTGAAATTTGATGGCACCCCTCACGCAGATCGGCGGGGTCAGGGTCCAAAAACACATAGGATTTGCCACATTTCTAAAAATTCGGTGGCAGCCTCAAGCAGATCGCAAAGGAAGGATGCAGAAACAAAAAGATTTGCCACACTTCTGAAATTCGGTCGCACCCCTCACGCACATCGGCAGGGTCAGGGTCCAAAAACACATAGGATTTGCCACATTTCTGACATTCGGTGGCACCCCTCACGCAGATCGGCGGGGTCAGGGTCCAAAAACACATGGGATTTGCCACATTTCTGACATTCGGTGGCACCCCTCACGCACATCGGCGGGGTCAGGGTCCAACAACACAAGGGATTTGCCACATTTCTGAACTTCGGCGGCACCCCTCACGCAGATCGGCAGGGTCAGGGTTCAAAACCTCAGGGTATTTGCAACATGTCTGAAATTCGGCGGCATCCCTCACGCAGATCCGTAGGGTCAGGGTCCAAAAACAAACGGGATTTGGCACATTTCTGAAATTCGGTGGCACCCGTGACGCAGATCCGTAGGGTCAGGGTCGAAAAACAAACAGGTCCCGACACTGCTTCACGGCGGCGCCCAGACCTCATGATTTAGCTTTTGCATCTCCCATTATCCGAGACAGGAGGCCGGCGGCATGGGCCGAAGCCCTTACGGATATAATCAGCCTTTTCCCCGAGCAACCCCTGGCGTCATCGGGGTCGGCCCCCCCGACGGACGCAACGACGCCGAGGAGGTCCGAGGCAGCGATCCGGCACAAAGCGAACCGACGCCAGATCATGTTCCTCCTGCCGAATGGCGCCGCGCAGGACGAGGCCGCGCTCGCCATCTCCCGCAGCTGTTCGCCCTCGTTGTAGTACGAGTGGTCCTGACTGCTGGAACAAGGAACAAGGCTGTTCCGCTGGTCCAGCTGCCTGCCGATCAGGCCGCGCTCTTGCCACAAGTCCGCCAGTTCCGCCGCGCCGCGCAGAAATGCGAAGGCGCTGCTGCCCTGCTCCGCACGCGCGGCAACACATGCAACTCTCCACGATGGCCATGGCGCGCTTGTCGTCAATCCCACGCCTGGCTCCAGAGTGGTGGAGCCGGCGGTGGCCTGGCCAGCAGGGCGCTCCAGCAGTATCCAGACTAGCGTCACCCGCGGCAGCGCTGCCCGTGCTGGTTTCTTAATCAGGGTCGGCTTGGCGTCCTTCCGGTAGTCAGACACAACATCGGCGATGCCGACAACGTGCAACATTGCGCTTGCAAGAGTGAGTGGGCACGAATGATTTTCGAATGTGCTTGATCACCGCTGTGGAAATACTGGGTAAGACACAGGGCGGCGGTTTTGGACGGACGATTTCGACGAGCACGCGCGGAGACGCGCGCATGGCCCGCATGGTAATGTTCTTCAGTGGGGGCAGGCAAGCGATGATTGTAACATGCCTTCGACACGCAAGCACGTATGGTCCGCATGCGTCTGTTTGACAGAATGGCCGAACTCTGATGTTCCTCTGGCTTCAGCGAAGGCGCGCACGCAGACATCTTGCAACTGTTTGTGCCTGCTGTGTTTTCTAAGTGTGGCGCAACTACGTGTTTTCGTTGCTACGTAACACATGGTGCCAGACAGATGGTTGACATGCGCGCGCGGCGGCGCACGCATGTGGCGCGCATTCGACTTGTTCCCACACGATTGTCACTTGAAGAACTTCTCAGGTCAACGCATGCGCACCGCAACATCTTTGCGATCAGGGATGAAGGGCGGACTGACTTCAGCCTGGCTGGCATGGAACCGCTTGACATGTACGATAACAGATCGTGCGATATGGGGGACAACCAATACCTCGACGCGAACCTGGAACCCCAGCCTCGGTGCCTCGGTGTGGGGGGTGACTCTCACTCTTTCTAGGACCAGGAACCGCTGCGGTCAAAACTATGTGGTGCATGCTATGTGGTTCAGGCTATCTGCTGCAAGTTATGGGGTGAAACCTATGGCGCTGCAAGCTTTGTCGTCTTGTAGGCGGGGTGCAAGTCACATGGCGCAATCCATCTGGCGCAAGCTACGTTGACATCGTAAAACGCAAATCAACTAACAAGGCGGGCACCGGGGGGAACCCCGAACATGACAACCAACTCCTGGGTCCGGCACGAGACGGGAACGGCAGGGCACCAAGCGGAAAAAATTGAAGCACGCGCCAATCCCATACGAACCCTGCAAAAGATTCCTCAGCGCGGGCATGTCTGGAGCAAAAGCAAGGACTATCATCATTCAGCCTCCTCCTTCTCCTTCACCTCCCATGCTGCTGCTCCGCGCCCTCCTCCCCCTCCTGGTCTCGGGCCCACGCTGCCATGGAGTAGGGATCTGTGGGTCTCGCACGTGAGCGCCAGATCCACGGATCGGGGAAGGCACCCCCTAAACGAATCGCCAACGCCGCCCGATCTGGCGAACCATTGCGCCGATGTCGTGCGGTGATGGGACCCTTCGCGAATCCACACGCCCGAATCCATGTTCGCGCTTTCTCGACGGCTGCTGCTCCCAATCCTCTCTTCTTTGCCCCCCACCCCCCCCTCCATGTGTGCCGGAGGAGGAGGTGGAGGGGGAGGGGGAGGGGGAGGAGGAGGAGGAGGAGGAGGAAAAGGAGGCGGAGGAGGAGGAAGAAGAGGAGGAGGAGGCGGAGGAGGAGGAGGAGGAGGACCCCCTCCCCCCTTGTGGTCGTCGTTGGCAGCGGCGCTCCAAAGCGCGGACCGCGCTCCTTGTCGGCCAAGCCCACAGTCTCGGCCACTCTCTCCACGAGCCTGGGAGGCAGGGGAGCAGCAGCGGGGAGACCGGCAGCAGCCCAGAACGCAGCAACGATGCTGCTCTAACGCCTCCTTCCAATCTCCCTCTTCGCAGGCCCCATGCACTCCGATTTCGGGAAGTGGCCCATTAGAAAGATAACCGTCTGAAAATCTTCAATCGTGCCAAAATGCCGTTCCTGGGACTTCAGCGCTGCGAATCAACGTGACTGTTCCTGCATCGTGCAGCCGGACGACTGTTCCTGGGAATGCAACGCCGCGAAACTAAATGCCTGTTGCTCCTGGCGATCCTGAACCGTGCCAAAATACCGCTCCTGGGACGTCAGCCATACGGCACCGCAAAACGGTTGCAAGTTTGCAAGACGAATGTGCGCGGCGTTGAGGCGAAACTGACATGTTGCAAAGAAGTCGCACTGCATCATCGAAGCCGCTGCACACTTTTAACACGAATATGCGCGGCACTAGCGTGAGAGCCACATTTCGAGGACGGATGTTGCACCACGTTTGAGAACATTCTGCAAAGTGTAAAGACCTATGCGCGCGGCGCTGATGTGAGAGCTGCGTTTAGGAAATCACCAGCCCGTCATCCGAGAAACTGCAGAATCTTAGATGTGCGCGGCGTTCTAAGCGAGAACCACATTACAAAAACACAACCCGCCCTCCATCTTTGAAACTGACGCAAACTTTTAGGACGAATGTACGCGGCGCTAAAACAGCACGTGTTGCAAACCATCCGTGCTTCATTTGCGAATTTCGAGCATGCAAATCAGAAATGGTGAGGGGGCCTCACGCGAAACGCCGGGCCCGCCCTCCTGACACGTCTGGGGTGTGGCAGGGAGGAACTGTTGCTCAGGAGCGAGGACTTCGGTGGATGGGGCAGGAGGGGAAGAGAGGAGGAGGAGAAGAGAGGAGGAGGAGGAGGAGGAGGAGGAGGAGGAGGAGGAGGAGGAGGAGGGAGGAGTGGTGGAGGAGGAGGAGGGGAGGAGGACGAGGAGGACGAGGAGGAGGAGGAGGAGAAGGCGGAGGAGGAGGAGGAGGGGGAGGAGGAGGAGGGGGAGGATTGGAGTCAGGGTGATTGCCCTTGACGCCAGGCTGCGTGACATCCAGGGGGGACCCTTATGCAACCATGTTCATCATCAGGCAGGGCGATCGGCACACATTGCATCAGAGTGGTCGGGTGAGGCTGACTCTTGCAAATTGCCGTCCCAATTATGCAGATTGCTGGCTGCCGCCCTCTTGCAACAGATCCGTGAGGGCTTCCCCGACGCACGCCAAGAGCTGCGACAGGGAGCCCCATGGGGTTCTGCCCCTGGCACCTTCCTCGGTACTAGGCCGTTGTCTTGGTGCCTACGTAGGGAGGCAGGGATCCGTTGACGGCTGGACCTACGTCTAGTCGATGATGGCTGGGATCTCCCGGTTGGCTCTATGCCCCCCTTGACCCCTATACTGAGCACCATCCTCGCACCGACTCCATCACCTTCCCTCGCAGGCGACCACCAACCACCACCCTGTGGGCACTGTGGCGTCAAGGACCCAGGGCTTACAATCTCTCTCCCTCGATGGACTGTAGCTCAGCCCGTGGGAAGGGCCCGCACGTGAAGGTGTGCCCCAGCCTAGCGGGCTAGCGCTCGTGTCCCAAGTAGTAACGCGCGGGTGCTGCACTTCGGAGTGCAGCGCGCCGCTGGCAGTACCATCGCCTCCTGCGTGAAGGCTCAAATTTTCTGAATTGGTTTCCCCGTCCCTGTTCTTTGCTCGCGCGCCCTTGGCAGTAACACAGGTGGCTCCACCATGCGACTCAGCATCTCGCCTCTTCACATGGTGTGCTCTCTCATCCATCTCCACGGTTGCTCGCTCATCCTATTTTGTGTAGGCTTCGAACCGTCCGCCTCATCGATGAATGAATGAATGAGTTAATGAGGGGGGGGAGGACGAGGAGGACGAGGAGGGGGAGGAGGAGAAGGCGGAGGAGGAGAAGGCTGATGAGGAGGAAGAGGAGGAGGAGGGGGAGGAGGAGGGGGAGGGGGGGAAAGAGAAGGAGGAGGGCAGAGCAGAGCAGCACCAATGATCCGATGAATCAGAACGCCTCAAGTCTACGGCACCCCGCAGGGTTAGAGGAAAACAAAAACGGATCAGGCGTTCGAGAACCGCTTGGGGGGGGGCCGAGAATCTATGGGGCCCTGCAGGGGGATGCCTCTGGCAAAAGCGAGGCCCTCCAAAGGGAAGACCACGAGGGCTCGCCTATGCACCCCCACGCTCTACAGAGCCAGAGGCAGGCGACGAGTAAGCCTACCCCAGCACAACCCCAAGCAAGGCTCACGGCGCGGCACAGCCCAGACCGCGTGGACCCCTCGAGGCGGCCGTCCCCCAGAGTGCTCTCGGCAAGGCGCAGCTGGCGAGGGGCCTCGGACAACGCCCGAAAGCTCGCGGCGCCCAGGTAAGCCTGCATTGGGGAAGACCTGAAAAAAACACCCTAACCTCCAGGTCACCGTCTGAATACTCAAGAATCGGAGCGGGGGTCCGAGCCTGAAGGGCGAGGAGGGGAGCGTCAGACAGGTGACCCTGGAGATGCAGCTCGGCGGCGCGGCGAGAGCCATTCGCAGCCGTCAGTCGTGCCCTCGCTGCCGAGGGTCTCACTCGTCCTCGTCCTCGGGCCTGTCCTCGAGGCCCAGCTTCTGCGCGAGCCTGGGCGCCTCGCGCTCCAGCCCCCCTCTCGGCGGAGAGCCTGGAAGGTAAGTCACCGCCTTGTCCTTGCCGCCCGCCGCCAGCAACGTCACCTGCAGCGCCTCCATCAGCGTGTGCTGGCAGCCCTCCCACTTGTTGGCCTGCTGCTGAGCCCCCGGCATGATCTGTAGCTTGAAGCGGTCTGGGGCCTGCATCTTCTTCTTGTCGCACCTGCAAGCCTTGATGCGGAAGTGGCGGCAATGGGCGGCCATCAGCTCCAGCGCGTTCCCCTTCATGATTGCCGTCTGCCAACAGCTCTTGAAGACTGCCTGTGCCTCCTCGGGCGTCGTCTCCTTGCCGTCCGTGCAGGCCCACTTGATGAAGGCCTAGAACACGTGGGGCCACGGTGGTCCGTACTTGTGCTCCTTGCCGTCCGCCTTGCAGCTCTCTGCGCACGCGCGCCCCGCCTCCTGCAGCACCTTCGCAAAGCCCACGCCCGCGCCGACCATGTAGCACGCGAAGCAAGCGCCAGTCACCTCGTCCAAACTCGCGCGCGCTGGCGAGAGCGAGCTTCGTGAGGACCGGCAGCAAAGCCGCCAGCGCCCCGCCCGTGCCGCCCTTCTGGTTGGCCTGAGCTTGCTCCCCGATCTCCCGAAGCAGGCGGGCCTTCTTGACCTTGCTGTTAGTAAGTCCACAACTGATAGAGGCGGAATGTCGCATTCAAGCGGAGGTTCGCCCTCTTCCCTCTCCCTCCTCCTCTGTCCTCCCTTGCCTTTCTCATTCTCCTCCGCCTCCCCCATC